ATTGGTTTTTCCCCTCTCTCCAGGTTGGGCCTTCCAGCCCAGTGACTGGCCAGACACAAAGACCAACTTTGAGGAATCGGAGCACACCTTCTTGGCTTTGATCACCCATCGTCTATTAAGAGAAGACTTTGCTTCGAGCCTGCTAATGACTCCAAAATCCTTCATGAGCTGATGGACTTTTGACTGTACAACTAACACAGGTGCCTTTGCTGCTACCTTAATCTATTTTTCAAATAAATTTCTATGCACCCACTTGAAAAGTCCCACACGTGTAAACACAGTAAGTTTTATTATTGTAACAAAGCAAGTTGTACACCTCAAATTTAAAACAGTTTCTTTTCCCCCCAGCGGAAAAGTAAAGTGTGATTAAATGTAAGTTCTATGAGATAACAGGTTTGTTTTACCCATGAAGCAGTGGGGGCCAAAATTTACAAGCTTGTTTTTTTTCCATTTTGTTCTTTATTAAAAATGTCATTTCAAATCTCATGGATATCTGTAAAACAATACAATGAAAAAAAAAAAAAGTCCCATAGAAATGGTGTCAAAATAACCACTCTCCCCAATAACCAACATACTCCTGCCCCTCCCCAGCTTACCCCTCCCCCCTCCCCCTAAACATTACAAGTCAAAGGAATGAGTTGGTACTCGTTAAGCACACTGGGGAAAAATAACAGTTTTTTCAAGGGTTCAACACCCCAACTGGAAAAAAACAAAACAAAAAAACAAGGGAAAAATATATTGAGAGGTAAACTAGCGCTGGGTCACTACACCATGGCTTTAGTCAATTTACCACACAACCTTTGACAGGAGGAATTCTGTGTGAATCGTCTTCAAATTCTACTCAGGATGCCGTGCTGATTCTATTTTTATTTTATTTTTTTTATTATTTTCGAGATGACTTTGGGGATGGTACTCACAATTCAGGGCAAAGTGCCATTAGACTAAGATGAGTCAAAGGAGAACATAACATGGCACCAACAGGTGAAGAGGCCTCAGAATGGAAAATGAAGCACAGATTTAAAAAATAAAAAAAAGGGGAAAAAAATAAAATAAAATTAAAACCTTTGCTCCCGAATGTGAGTGGAAAAACCAAACAGGGAATAGAAGGTTGAGGGTTTGGGTAGATGAAGTTATTTCTTAGTCGTCTTCTCCTTCGTCATCCTGAAAGAGTAAGATATCAGACAATCAGTGAGCGTTTAAAGAAAAAAAATTAATCAAATTAAAGAAAATACTTCGAGACCTATTTGACTTGAGGCCTTTACCTCTCCATCCTCTCCATCGTCCTCTTCGTCTTCCTCTCCATCTTCATCTCCCTCCTCGTCTATGTCCTCCAGACCCTCCTCATCCTCTTCGTCGTCCTCACCTTCCCCCTCTTCATCATCCATGTCAGGAACCTAGGAATAAGAATCACTTTCAGCACTTTTGTTGGTCTTTTAGTTATACCAGAAACACTTTCCTGCCTGGTGGATGAAATACATTTGAACCAACAAGATTGAATAGAACACCCACACAGTTAAATAAACGATAGCTAAAAGACGTCTGCTTGTTGTGGAAAGTGGCGGCTAGGAAAATGTTTATGCCACAAGCAAGGATACATTAACCTGGTCGCAAACATACCAGGTAGTACTGCAGGGGGTTTGGCCAGATGTCGTCCTTGATGACCTCCCCGAGCTCATCGGCACCAGCGTCAGCGTGATCAGTGAACCAAGTGAAGAAGCTCTCTGGCTCTTCATGTTGCCTCTTCCGTCCTGCTTTGTTCTGTGTCTGGCTGGAGCGTTTGGTCAGGTCCTACAAACAGACAGAGAAAAACAGAGAAATGAGAACTTCTTCAAGCTTTCTTAATATTGCCGTTTCTTAGTTAAAAACTCAAAGCTGGCATAGCAGCTTCAGGAAGGAGGGAAAAATATTGTGAATGAGGATCATAAGAATGTTACCTAACTGGTTGAAGTTAGAAAGAACTGCCTCAAGCCTTCCCACCGCTTTAATAAAGATACACTTACCTTTCCTGATTTCCATTTGATTTCTGTTGACTTTGAAGATGGATCTCCGCTCTCATTCAAATGGAACTCTTTGGAAAGTACTTTGTTTTCGAAGTACGGATTTTCGTCGAAATACTAAAAAGGATAAAATGCACCCAGGTAAGAACACAAAGACCAAACACATCTATGTTGTTGTGTGTGCGCGCATCATTGCAATACTTACAAAATCTATTCTGTAGCCTGACTTGATGTCTTCAAACTCTGTCACCTCCACTCGGCTCAGGTAATGAAGTGCTTCTTCATCTTCCTCTCCCAGTAGGGCAGATACTGTGGGGGAAACAGATGATAAAGGTCAGACTTTAACTTGTACACTGTCCAAATCATACAAATGTTTATTGTGGTTTAACCATTTCTGTAAGACGGTATGGCAATAAAAACCTCGTATTAAATAGCTCACCTTGTGGATGGTTGACAAATGTGGTGACCCAGAAGTTGGGGATTTTGGCGATCAGTTCTGACCTCTTCTGAAAGAATGGCTGACGAAGTTTGTTGTATTTCTGTTCTACTTTGAGGATCTCCTCACTGGCTTGCTCATTCAACCTGAATGGGAGAGAGAGAGAATTAAAAAAGTAAAAATCACAAACCAAATTTAAAATCAGATTTGACTGTTTATATCAATTGGCTGTATTTTTTGTACTTTTACACTTTCAGGTCTGTATGTGGTAAATCATCCTATTTACTCAGGCACAGGGTTGTCAAACAGTGCACCATGGAGGGCTGAGATTCTGCAGGTTTTCATGCCAAACAGATTACAGCATTCATTTTCACAAGCTACTTTCTTTTCCTTTAAAGAGATGTACTAATCACCGCTTCAATTTTCCTGCTGGGCAGAAAATCTCAACCCTAACAAGCACATGGTGTGACATCTCTAATTAGCAATAATTGGAGTTAATACCTGTCAATTTCATTTTGAACTTCGTCAATGTGTTCAATAGCTTCTTGCTGCTCTTTCTCTGTGGGGGAAAAAAAGGAAATACAAGCATTACTAAATGTGTAGGACACAAGTAAAGTGCATCAGCCGCCAGGACTGGGGTCGTTATATCGTTAATTATTAAAATTGTATTTATTCCTGTCCGTATACAAACCCACGCGTACATAAATTAAACTGCATTTACTATCACTGCGCGGTACTTTTTATAGCCGCAAATAAGTTTACTGAAAATGCGAGAACGACTGAGGTCTACGGGCTATTTTGGTACTGCCTAGTTTCGGTGTTTACAATCACTAATGTATCGTCAGTCCGCCGCAGGTCACCGTAGTTGTGAGGTTACCTTGCAGATTGAGAGCATGCTCTCCCGGAGGTCAGGGTAATGTGAGCGGCCAATAGCTGCAGCTCTAGCGGCGCAGACACTCACCGTTTCCTGCCGGCTGCTACCGAGAAGGCCGCGTGGTTTAAATGTGGGACATCTGACTGCACACAGAGAGAGAGCCGCGATAACGTGAGAGCCCGAGCTAGGACTGATGCCAGGACAGACCCCCTTCACTGCCCACACTGCAGAGTCCTGTATCGAGCTGCCTAAATATAATAATTACCTAGGTTAACTGGTTGCGGGGCTGGAGGATTTAAGTGCAGTTTGACCTATAATAAAACATAACGTCGTCAGCTAGCGTTAGGTAACGTTACAACAACAACACTAGCTGGCTAAGTGCTAATGCCCAAATGAAATTGCCAACTTTTTCGGTCATTAAACGCCACAGTAGCAACGTAAACATCAACTGGGTCATTTAAAGTACATTTTACAACAGCACACGGAACAATGGTGCCCCAGCATCGCACACGGCCACTCAGCCAGCAGCCAACGACACAAGTGACCACGCTGATAATGCTAACCGTGCAGCTAACACGGCCTCTGAGCGCCGGACTGAGCTGAACAACAGCGCGCTGAACCAGCGGCATGCTAAGAAACGCGCTAGCTGCGGAGCTAACTGCGCTGCTCGAAATGTGAATACACGCAGCAACTCCCGCGGGCAGCCGCGGAGTGGGTCCCTGGCTGTTGGGCAAAATCAAAGCAATCCACACAGTAATTATGAACAACATCGCAGCCAGCGGCGACGCAAATTGTGTTAGAGAAGAAAGTGAAAATGGCGGTGAACAGGAGGCCGCCATTCCCCTTACCGGAGGTTTCGTCCGCTCCGTCATGGTTCGAGTTCAGCTCCTTTTTACTCACTTTTGCCGCCGAGGCCGACATGTTTTCGCAGGCTGGGGTAACTTACAGACGTCTGAGAGAAGAAGAGTTATCTTTAATCTCGTTGTTTCTCCTTCAACAGGAGAACCTTCAATCTGCGGGAAGTTGCGCGTGCAGAAGCCACCAACGTGCTGCCTTCCACACAATGTAACTGCCGGAGAGCGAGGAAGTCACAGCCAGCGCTGCTCACGCGCTCCTTTCATTACGAACGCGCCTCACCGACGGCGGCAGAGAGGAGCTCCGCCTCTCAAAATAGGTCTCACTGCTCGCCTCTAATTTGGTGATTTACTTCGCTCTCGTCTGTTAAAATTACGCCCAAAATGAACCAAAGCTCTAATTATCGCGTATATTTATGTCGCGAGCGATTTCGAAATTAATTTCGCCCAAAAACACGTTTATCCAGAGCAGGCCGGAGCTTCAGCTGGACCGACTCGCACTTGCGCACTTTAAAAAGATGCTGAATATCATTTGAGACAGGCAGGAGCCTCTTTCTGGTGGTCAGGGATAATTAGCCTGAAAGTCTCACAGTTTGTCCCGAGATAATTGTTTATTTTAGGTGAGAAAATACCGAACAAACAGGGCATTTTAGTTAATAGGTTAGGTTATGTCCAGCAGCTTGCGTACTTATAAACAAAGCCATGTCTAAATAATAGCTTTACATTTTTCATATTTAGCGAAAAAAATCTT